GGGGGGCGGGGGGGGGGGGGCGGGGTGGTAGGTAATCGGGGGCTGTAGCGTTGATATTATTTAGACGGTGAAATAATTGATAATTGGACCGGAGAGTCATCGTGTATTTCGAAATGCCGGATATTTCAAAGTTTGTCTTCATCGTACTTTTCTGTCTTTCGTGGCTTTGCCCATTGCGGTCTGCTGCTTCGTGCGCCTTGGTCGATTAAAGATTTAACGACCAGCCCGCGGAATATGTCATTCGACGTAGCTAATGACGTGACTGATGAAATCGCATGCTGGTAGTCGGTGACACTTTGATGAAAAGTTAACGTTAAAGTGGCAAAAATTGACAACGGAATGTTGTTACGACAATGGTGCGATGATAAGATATTGGACATTAAGCAAGCACATTCTTTTCTAATTGCATCGCATATTTTAACGAGTATCGTGAACAATTTAACGTTACAGTCAAGGACTACGTAATTATAAAGACTACGTACAAGTTGCTTATCCATCAAGCATCAATTTTCCATTCTCATAAATAATTAATCTTTGACGAATTATTAAAGGAGGATTTTCAGCATTTGGTACTGAACAAAAGTGAAACGAAGATAATATAAGAGTGGCCGTTAAAAATGATGTGATCGCATTACATACACATGTATTGTAAAGCATAACGGCGTCAACACTTTGATACCTATACATGCAGGTGCTTGATTATCATAATAATATATAGTCGCTGAGGTAGAATTGAAGGTATGAATTTGACGAAAGAATTATTTTATTGCCGGCTTTTTCTACTTGGCTGGCGTATATTACTTGCTTACGCATCGAGCAATAATTATCACGATATGAGCGGTGATAAGATTATCCTGTTATCCAGTTACTATCCAGTGTATTTTCTTGTGACTTTTCCATGACTTTCCGATCTTGTGAATTGTCAGGACCATACAAATTATTACAATTTTGTTGAACGTTGAAAAAGATTTGTACAATTATCGTCGTCAAGGCATTATGAAATGAACATGGGAGAAAAAATTATTTTAAGCTCGTGAACGAAACTTAAAGGCAATGCGTATATGGCGTCTTAGGCCCCGTCGCAATTGCATCTTCATAATGCAAAATCGAGGACACGTAATGACGTAGAAGCGATTCTACGAACGTAAAAACGTTGAGGTTAAAGGAGAACTAATACTCGTGCTAAATAATGAATTTATTAATATGCGCACGTGGGTGCAGAAGAGGCTGCGTTTAGCAATCGCGCGCGCGCACGAGTCAATCACGACTGCGCGCACGAAAAAACGATGCTGACGTACAATTGCATCAATCACTCCAATCACTGTTCTCGCGTCTCGCTAGAGGATTTCTGGTAATACCGCTATAATTGCCACATACGTATAAATAATAATGGATAGATGGTTATGATCATTATAATCATTGTCGTTGTTATTATTATCATTATTATTGTCGTTGCTTTTTGTTATTTGTTGTTTGTTGTTTGTTTCTTGTTGTTGTTTGTTGTTTGTTGTTTGTTGTTTGTTGTCGTCGTCGTCGTCTTCGTCGTCTTGGTCGTCGTCGTTGCTGTTATTATGTTCTGTGGATTCGCGCGGATAATTATAATGACGAAACACACCTCTCATCTTGAAACACACTCGACTCTATTGCGAGATACCGCAATAATAGAGTTGTTCAGGTATTCGTTCACGTTGCATTGGCAGCATTGTTTGCGAAGGTGCCTGCTGGCTATTGTTGAATTTGAAAGCTTTGGGGGAACTTGCCGATTTTGTAGCCAGAGAGTAATCAATAAGTAATTTGCCGCTCGTTTAACTTGGCATTCTGCCAGTGCGTGGAAGCCTGTATTTTAATTATTATCAAGATAGCTCGAAATATTAAAGAAAATCCTACGACATTACGTGTAACGCTTAAGTAAATTAAAGAAAGTATGAAGTCGGAGAGTATGGACGAATGCTTGCGAGTAAGCTCAAATTAATCGGAATTCGAAAGTATCGGGTAAAGTCGTCGATAAATTGACGTTTTATTGTCGAAAACACAAGCTACTCGAATCATTAAATTCGTCATGTATCGATGTTTTATTGTAAATGGAAAATACTAAATATGAATATTATGGCACATAAATGCGAATGCCAAGGTATTTCCCAACAGAAATGCATAAGCGATATTAAATATTTAAGCTTGCAAGATATATGCAGCCTCGGCGTTTCTAATTTAATGTCTTTGGTTCCAAGCGACTTGTTTATTAGACCAGGTCGTAAAGGACTTTAAATAAATCGAGAATTATATCGATGCGGATCGCGGAAGGTAGCAAGTGCCTAATCGCGCAGGCCTCGCTCACCACTCGCAACTTTCTCGGCTTTTCTCCCAGAGACGCTTCCTACAACCGTAACGAAGAGGCCGATTATCGATAATCGGCCGAGCGCGCTTAATTGATCGAATGGACATTGGTGCGAGAGAAAAGTGCGCAAAAAGTCGTAAAAGTGCGCGGAGCGCCAGTAGGAACGGGAAGGTCGATCGATGGGAGGAGACTCGAGCGACGACAGTTGGAAAAACGGTGATCACGCACGCACGGCACACGACGCCATGGGAATATTGCGCACCTACGCAGTCAGTTCGCGTTTGCCCGGCAACGCGCGCATAAATCCCTTTATGAGCTTCGCCTTACAAATTCACGGCCTGTCGCCGATTTTATTGCTCCGGAGATTGTTCCTTTATCTGTGCGCTCGGGCGCGAGAGGCCCCTATCCATAAATAAATATCGGCTATCCTCGTCCGGAATCGTGGCTGCGCGCGCGTGCGAAAATAGGCAGTCCAGGCGAGCGCGCACGCACGCGCAACTTTATTACGCCCCTATAATAAAATTCCGCTGCTGGCGCTTTAAGCGGCGCGCGACCTATTGCCCGCTTATATGAATTTCAACGGGTTTTCCATTATCGGCCCGTTATTACGGCCATCGCGATTTTACAGGTTGACATCGGGCCCCGATTGTAATCGAACCGGTTGCCTGCGTTTGGCTAAGCCGCAGTCGTAAATCAAGTCTCTCAAACTTCCACGAATTTCTTTCAATTGCAGCGGAAGCCAGCGGAAGATTGAGAAAGAGAGAGAGAGAGAGAGAGAGAGAGAGAGTGAGAAGGGGTGGAGCGGGAGGAGCAGAAGGGCGTGACAATCGCTTTTTTTTCGCGTACCTCGCGAATGCCGCCCTTCCTTCCTTCTCCGATCGCATGATTCCGCTGCGTAAATAACAATTAAGCTGAGCCCACAACGAGCTTGATAACTTCCACATCGCTACCACTTTTAGATTATCGTGATGCAACTAAATCCTAATTACCCACCCACGGTGCGCATAATTATCGATAATTAGCAACGCCAGATCATGGAACCTACTCCCCCCCCCCCCCCCCCCACCCCCTCCCCGGGGCGGG